AACATGGAAAACCCCGTCTCTACTAGAAAACAAAATTTAGCCGCAGTCGTGATTGGTGCAAGCCATGTAATCCCAGCTACTTGGGAAGCTGAGCAGGAGGAATCACTTTGAACCCAGAGTGGAGTCGCAGTGAGTTTGAGATCATGCCACGCACTCCAGCCTGGCTGACAGAGCAAGACTCCCATCTAAAAAAAAGAGAAAACAAAAAATCCCTTTCTATTGCTCTGGCCTGAATTTACCTTGCTCGGTCCCCTTCCCCCCCCTTCGCGCAGGTTCAGTGACACGGGGTTTCTGAGCCCTCCTATCATCAGAGAAGCCTCACCCCGCACCCTGCGTCGAACTTCAAATTTTCCCCTCTGTCAATGGGAGTGAAGAATTCGTTGTGCTCAGGCTAATTCCTGAAAAACGCAAGCTCAGCAAGCCAAGAATCCCATTCTCCTTGGAGAGCTAATTTCCACTGAAGCATTCCGCGAGCGGTAGAATCTCTCCCCCTAACCACGAAAGGGTCCAGCTTCTCCCGCAGGTTTCATTCCAACCTCCCTACCAGTAGCTTCCTTGATAGGGCGCAAGGGATAAAAAAATTTTCCCCCCACTTTCCTGAAACCATATAGCTTTATAATCAGAAAAATAAAGCTTTAAAAAATAAATAGAGTGTCGAAATGTCTCTCATGTGTAGCGCATACCCCAGAGCAGAAACTAAGATTTTGTTAAATATACGCCTGACTGCTTGAGTATAGTAGAGCTTATCAGAAGAATCTTTTAGGAACGTTGATTTGCAAGGGCATCTGATCAGTATTTAATATGAGCTTTCCTAGACGCTGAAATCGTCCCCTAAATTAAGAGCTCCATCGGGCCAGGGCGCCGGTGGCTCATGCCTGTAATGCACGGCAGCACTTGGGGAGGGCCAAGGTGGGTGGGATCCACGAGCCCTCAGGAAGATCAGGACGGCCATCTGCTAACACGTGTGAAACCCCCATCCTCCTACCTCAAAAAAATAGCAAAAAATTACAAGCCAGCGTGTGTGAACACCTGTAGTCCGACGAGCTACTCCAGGAGGCTGAGGCGCAGGAGAATGGCGTGAACCTAAGAAGTCGCCGCGAACTTGCAGTGAGGCAGAGATCCGCAGCCACTGCACTCCACTTGAAGCCAGGAGTTTAAAACCAGCCTGGGCAACAGAGTAAGACCCTGTCTCTACAAAAAAATAAAAAATCAGCCGGGCATGATGGCATCCACCTGTGGTCCCAGCTACTTAGGAGGCTGAGGTGGGAGGATCACTTGAGCCAAGAAGGTTGAGGCTGTAGTGAGCTGTGACCACACCACTGCACTCACTGCCTGGGCAAAAAAAATTTTTTGAGACTCTATTCCTAAACATACATTCAGAAGTGTACATGGATATATGTGCAATGTGCTGGTGTAATCTAACAAAATACCAGAGGCAGACTGCTTACCAATTAAAAAGAAAATAATTAAATAATAGGACATGCATGCAAGGAGTACTGCAGCCATTTCAGAGAATGCCTTAGGTGAGTATATTCTGACCTGAAAGCATGTTTATAATACATTGTTGAGTGTTTATTATACACCCCTCACACTGTACTCAGGTGTATAAATAGAATCTTACTCCATTATATCCTATTACAGATTGCATCTTATGAACTCTCATCATCTGAGGCGGAAGCCAGAGTAAAAAGCTAGTCCAATATCACAATCTTAAACCAATCCTATGATCTCAATACCATTTTAGTTACTCTTTCTCTGCTTGGCTATTTCAGGCAAATATTCAGCTCTAGTTCTTTCAAAGAGGAAGTCTGGGTCTATGGTGAGGGGTGTGGCTTGGAGGACCTCCTGGCACTGGGAAAAGGGGGCTTGGCCTCCGGCTGGCTGTTGCAGGTGATGGGGGATAGCAGTGTCTGCTGGGGTGTGGTGTATTCACTCATAATCCCTGGGCCTTCGGCTGGCATCAGACTCTCCCTCTCCCTTCAATTTGTAGTCTGCATTGCAGCCAGACTGATGCTTTCAAAACTGCAAATCTAGGCCGGGTGCGGTGGCTCACGCCTGTAATCCCAGCATTTTAGTAGACCGAGGCAAGCGGATCACTTCAGGTCAGGAGTTCAAGACCAGCCTGACCAGCATGATGAAACCCTGTCCCTACTAAAAATACAAACAATTTAGCCAGGCATGGTGGTGCACTCTTGTAGTCCCAGCGACTTGGGAGGCTGAGGCAGGAGAATCGCTTGAACCTGGGGGTTGGAGGTTGCAGTGAGCCGAGATCAAACCACTGCACTCCAGCCTGGGCAACAGAATGAGACTCTGTCTCAAAACAATAAATAAATAAAAAGAAACAAAACTGCAAATCTAATCATGGCACTCCTTTGTAGAGTAAAATTTAATGTCTCCTCACTGTCCTTAGGAGAAAGACACAAACCTTAACACCATCTAGGAGGCCTTGCATGTGTTACCCTTAACTTTCTCTCCTCCCTCACCTTGTACAACCTCACCCCATTCCTTGATGCACCTGGCCCTTCTTTCAGTTCCTTGGATGCGTATGGCTTTTGGACCTGCCGTCCGCCACCTGCCCCCACACAGTGTCCCATTCATTTTCTTAATTTCTGTTATTCTTCCGAATCCATTCCCCACAGTCCTCATCCTTTATCTCCTTGACATTCCAATTTCCCTCGATTATGTGCCACAATATATCTCCCTTCAAATCTCTTATAACAGTTGTAATTTTATATGTATTTTTGACACATACAGTACTTGAAATATATCAGATGTTTGATAAATACTAGTTCCTCCTTCTTTCTCATTTATAATTTAAGCCTGTCAACCAGGTTGGTGTTCGCTGAGGGAATGCCTATTATCCTGCCAGCTATTTCCCACTGTAGATTAATAAACTGAATTCAAGATTATAAAGCAGCTGGAGAGTTCTGGTTACAATGAGTCAGTTCCCCAAAGCCCAGTTGCATGTGACATTGCAATGTTTTTTCAGTTTCCAGGGCCACTGTAACAGATTATCATAAACTGGTATGGCTTAAAACAATAGAAATGTATTTCCTCACAGTTCTGGAGGCCAGAAATTCCAATCAAGGGGTCAGCAGCGGGGCCAGGCACGGTGGCTCACACGTGTAATCCCAGAACTCTGGGAGGCCGAGGCGGGTGGATCACGAGGTCAGGAGTTTGAGACCAGCCTGGCCAATATGGTGAAACCCCGTCTCTAATAAAAATACAAAAATTAGCCAGATGTGTTGGCATGCGCCTGTAGTCCCAGCTACTCGAGAGGCTGAGGCAGGAGAATTGTGTGAACCTGGGAGGCAGAGGTTGCAGTGAGCTGAGATCGCGCCCCTGCACTCCAGCCTGGGCAACAGAGTGAGAATGTGTCATCAGGGCTGTGCTTCTCTGAAGGCTCTAAGGGAGGATGTTTCCTTGCCTCTTCCTAACATCTTGTGGTTACTGGCAACCCCTGGCATTCCTCGACTTGAAGATGCCTCATTCCAGTCTCTGCCTCCATCAGCACACAGCCTTCTCCCAACATGTCTGTGTCCAGATTTACCTCTTCTTACAAAGACATCATTCATTGGATTAGGACCCATCCTCATCCAGTATGACCTCACTTTAACTTAACTAGTTACATTGGTAAAGATCTTATTTCCAAGTAAGGTCACATTCTGAGGTTTAGGGTAAACATGAATTTTGGAGCGATGCTATTTGACCCAGTACAAATGTTCATCAGTTACTATTAAATACGACTTATTGATAGGCTTATTAACATGCTTGTTAATAATAGGCACTCACCACCTCCTGGGTTCAAGTGGTTCTCCTGCCTCAGCCTCCCAAGTAGCTGGGATTACAAACATGCACCACCACGCCCAGCTAATTTTTGTATTTTTTGTGGAGACGAGGTTTCACCATGTGGGCCAGGCTAGTCTCGAACTCCTGACCTCAACCAATCCGTCCCCGCCTCAGCCTCCCTAAGCACAGGATTACAGGCTGAGACACCACGCCCAGCTGAACTCTTTAGAAGTAATAGCCAGGGCATTTTACTGACATTAAAGAGTGCTGTGTTCATCCGTTTGGGCTGCTATAACAGAATACTTTAGACTGGGTAATTTATAAACAATAGAAATATATTTCTGGCCAGGCATAGTGGTTCACACCTGTAATCCCAGCACTTTGAGAGGCCAAGATGGGTGGATCAGTTGAGGACAAGAGTTCAAGACCAGCCTGGCCAACATGGTGAAATCGCGTCTCTACTAAAAATGCAAAAATTGGCCAGATTCGGTGGCTCTCACCTGTAATCCCAGCACTTTTGAAGTCCGAGGCAGGCGGATCATGACGTCAGGAGTTCGAGACCAGCCTGACCAACATGGTGAAACCCTGTCTCTACTAAAAACAAAAACAAAAACAAAAATTAGCCAGGTGTGGTGGCATGCGCCTGTAATCCCAGTTACTCAGGAGGCTGAGGCAGAAGAATCACTTGAACCTGGGAGGCAGAGGTTGCAGTGAGCCGAGATCGTGCCACTGCACTCCAGCCTGGGCGATAAATCAAGACTCCATCTCCAAAAAAAAAAAAAAAAGTTCTGGAGGCTGGAAAGTTCAAGATCGAGGCACCAGTATATTTGGGGTCTGGTGAGGGCTTGCCCTCTACCTCAAGGACAATGACCACTTCCTTCATCCTCACATGGGAGAAAAGGTGAACAAGCTCCATCAGGCCTGTTGTATAAGTGCACTAATCTCAGTCATGAGAGCTCTGCCACCCAAAGACCCAACCTCCCAACACCACTGCACTGGGGATTAGGCTTCAAGATAGGAAGCTGCAGGGGCCACAAACATTCAGACCATAGCTAATGTTTATGCAGTATTGTTTAGTGTTTGTTTTCCTGTATCATAGCTGGAGATTCATTCCCACTCCACTCAGATCTATAAATATAATGTTATTCCATTGCTTCCGATTAAAGTATCTAATTTAATGAATTCTCACCTTCTTTCTGCCATTTATACAGAAAACATTGGAAGAAAAAAATGGAAAAACAAATCAAAACATCTTCAGACTACAGACTTGTCTTTCTTTGTGTGAAGAGAGCATTCTTTCTCCAATTCCTTGTGGCTTGAAGTTTTCTTCTTGTTTGCTTTTCGACATTTTTTTATGGCAAGTATATTTGTAAATACTTTATATATGATAAATGATGAGCATTTTCTCCTGTTTCTTTCATTTTTTCTTTTTTTGAGATAGGATCTTTCATCCAGACTGGAGTGTAGTGGCGGAACACAGTTCACTGCAGCCTCAGCCTGCTGGGCTTAAGCAATCCTCCCACCTCAGCCTCTCAAGTAGCTCAGGCCACAGGTACACCCACATCCAGCTTTTTATTTATTTATTGAGAAAGAGTCTTGCTCTGTCACCTAGGCTGGAGTGCAATGGCATGATCTCAGCTCACTGCAACCTCCAACTCCCAGGTTCAAGCAATTCTCATACCTCCTCCCAAGTAGCTGAGATTGGGTACCCACCGCCACGCCCGGATAATATTTTGTATTTTTAGTAGAAATGGGGTTTCACCATGTTGGCCAGGCTGGTCTCGAACTCCTGACCTCAGGGACCTCAGGTGATCTACCTACCTCGGCCTCCCAAAGTGCTGGGATTATAGGCATGGGCCACTGCACCCAGCCCCAGCTAATTTTTTAAAAATGTTTTTGTAGAGACAGGGTCTTGCTATGTTGCCCAGACTGGTCTCAAACTCCTAGGCTCAAGCAATCCTCCTGCCTCAGCCTCTGAAAATGCCGGGATTACAGGCCTGAGCCAATGTACCTGGCCATGATGAGCTTTGTCTTAGAAACTGCTGGGGCTAGGTACTTTCTTATTGGCACTGCAAAAAGAAAACCAGAGTTCAGAGAGTTGAGTCTTGGCTATAGTTCATGAGGCAGAAGCTGAGGACCTAGGGTAACTAGACAAGACCACAGAGAATTGCTCAGAGAGCCAGGTTCTGATTCAACTGAAATCCTGTCCTGATCTACAGTGGTGAGGGCTCTCACGCCTGGCATGAGAATGACTTCTGGAACCTTGGAACCTCAGCCAAACATTTCTTCTTCCTCCTTCCTCCCTCCTCCTCCTTCTCCTCCTCCTCCTCCTCCTCCTTCTTCTTCCCCTTCTTCTTCTTCTTCTTCTCCTTCTTCTTCTTCTTCTTCTTCTTCTTCTTCTTCTTCTTCTTCAGATGGAGTCTCAGTCTGCTGCCATAGGCCTAGAGTACAGTTGGCACAATCTGGCTCAACTGCAACCCTCTGCCTCTCAGGATTCACCGCGGTTCCTGCCTCAGCCTCCCAAGTAGCTGGGATTACAGATCACACCAACACACCTGGCTAATTTTTGTATTTTTGGTAGAGATGAGGTTTTGCCATGTTGGCCAGGCTGACCTCAAGTGATCTACCCACCTTGGCCTCCCAAAGTGGTAGGATTACAGGTGTGAGCCACTGCACCGGGCCACAATTCTTTAATATTATCTAACACCTCAGTCCACATTCAATTTCTTTCTGTTGTTCCAGAAATGTCTTCTATGGTTCATTTGTCCAAACCAGGATTCAGTCCACAATTGGACATTTGTAACTGATTGCTATGTCCTCTAAACCTCTTCTGTCCCAGAATCTATGTTGAACAGTAAGAAACAGTAAGGAAGGAAGCAAGAGTAAGGAAGGAAGAGTTCGAGACCAGCTTGACCAACATGGAGAAACCTTGTCTCCACTTAAAAAAAAAAAAAAAAAAATTAGCCAGGAGTGGTGGCACCTGCCTGTAATCCCAGCTACTCGGGAGGCTGAGGCAAGATAATCTCTTGAACCCGGAAGGCAGAGGTTACGGTGAGCCGAGATCGCGCCACTGCACTCCAGCCTGGGCAACAAGAACGAAATTCCGTCTAAAAAAAAAAAACAACAAGGATTGTGATCAATTTTAAGGTAATACGTCGCTTCAGCCATGTTCTTAAACTTTCAGCTATACAAACGAACAATTATTTATTTATTTTTGGGGACAAAGTCTCACTCTGTCACCCAGGCTGGAGTGCAGTGGCACAATCTCAGCTCACTGCAACCTCTGCCTCCTAGGATCAAGTGATTCTCCTGCCTCAGCCTCCGGAGTAGCTGGGACTACAGGCGCTCACCACCACGCCACGCTAATGTTTGTATTTCTAGTAGAGGCGGGGTTTTGCCATGTTGGCCAAAGTTGTCCCGAACTCCTGACCTCAAGTGATCTGCCTGCCTCAGCATCCCAAAGTGCTGGGATTGCAGGCATGAGCCACTGTGCCTGGCCAAAACATTTATTATTTTATTTATGTATTTATTTATTTATTTTAAAGTGAAAGCAAGTTTATTAAGAAAGTAAAGAAATAAAGAATGGCTACTCCATAGGCGGAGCAGCCCAAAAAATGCATTTTTAAGCAACATTTTAAAATTTTTTAAAAGCATTTTTAAGCAAATTCTAAAATTTTTTTTGTTTTGTAGAGACAGGGTCTCACTGTATTGCCCAGGCTGGTCTCAAACTCCTGACTCAAATGATCCTCCCACCTCAGCCTCCCAAAGTGCTGGGATTACAGGCGTGAGCTACTGCGCCCAGGCTCTAACATGTTCTAAAAGTAAAATTGTTACCAAACAGTGATTTATGGTGAGGGAGATGGAGAAGAGGACATTTTTACTTTCTACTTTATACACAGGGGAAAATATATCTATTTAACTATCTACTCAAGAAATACCAGACAAACCCAGATTAAGAGACATTCTATAAAATAAAATAACTGGCTTTTCTACATCAAAATGATAAGGTCATGGAAGACTGAGACGAGGAACTATTTCAATTAAGGGAGACTAAATTAGCTTGACAATACAATGGACAAGTCTGGATTACATCCTGGACCGAAAAAAAAAATTCAAACATCTTGCTACAAAGGACATTACTGGCAAAATATAAAGTCTGTAGATTAGAAGATAGTATCGTATCAATGCCAAGTTAATGACTTTGATTATTATACTATAGTCATGTAAGTGAATATCCTTATTCTTAGGAAAAATATACCCTGAAATATTTAAGGGCAAAGGGCATCACGTCTGCATCATGTCTGCAATGCATATTTTGTTTACATACAAAATATATACAAAATACTATGTATATCTGGGAGATAATATGTACTCATGAGTATTATGAGAAAGAGAGAGAGAAAATGTGAGAAAAAATGTGAGGGAAAAAAGCAATGTGGTAAAATATTTACAACTGGGGAACATAAGTGAAAAGTTCTTTCTACTATTCTTGCTATTTTCTTTTTTTTCTGAGACAGGGTCTCACCCTGTCACTCAGGCTGGAGTGCAGTGGCATGATCATAGTTCACTGCAGCCTCGACCTCCCAGGCTCAGGTGATCCTCCCACCTCAGCCACTTAAGTAGCTGGGACTACAGGTGTGTGCCATCACATCTGGCTAATTTTTAAAATTTTTTGTAGAAACAGGGTCTCACTATGTTGCCCAGGCTGGTTTCAAACTCCTGAGCTCAAGCAATCCTCCTGCCTCAGCCTCCCAAAGTGCTAGGATTACTGGTGTAAGCCACCACGCCTGGCCTCTGGCAAGTTTCTATAATAAAAAGTTACCCTCCAACATCCCTTCTCTATCTTTTGAAGAGAATCAAAAAGTTGTTTCCTCATCTGCAAAATAGAAATAAAGGCTGGGCATGGTGGCTCATGCCTGTAATCCCAACACTTTGGGAAACAGGAGGATCATCTGAACCCAGGAGTTTGAGACCAGCCTGGGAAATATAGTAAGACCCCATCTCTCTCCCCAAAAATCAAAAATTAGCCAAGCATGGTGGTGTGTGCCTGTAGTCTCAGGAAATGTGGAGGCTGCAATGGGAGGATTGTTTGAGCCCAGGAGGCAGAGGTTGCCGTGAGCCATGATGGCACCACTGCACTCCAACCTGACCAACAGAGCGAGACTTTGTTTTCTTTCTTTCTTTTTTTTTTTTTAAAAAAGAAATAAATGGCCGGGCGTGGTGTCTCATGCCTCTAATCCCAGCACTTTGGGAGGTCAAGGCAGGCGGATCATCTGAGGTTGGGAGTTTGAGACCACCCTGACCAACATGGAGAAACCCCATCTCTACTAAAAATACAAAATTAGCTGGGTGTGGTGGCATACGCCTGTAATCTCAGCTACTTGGGAGGCTGAGGCAGGAGAATCACTTGAACCTGGGAGGCGGAGGTTGCAGTGAGCCGGAGATTGCGCCATTGCACTCCAGCCTGGGCAAAAAGAGCAAAACTCTATCTCAAAAAAAAAAAAAAAAGAAAGAAAGAAAAAGAAGAAGAAGAAAGAAATAATAGTAATTATATCTTGGTCTTGTGGTTACTAAATTAATGTAGCAAAAGGGCTTGGCATGTTACAAGGCACTTTGAATTGGTCAAGTCACAAACAGTTGAAAAGAGAATCCTCTCTCATCAATTTAAGTATAAAGGCATTGATTGAGGGGACTGAAGAGCTCACAGAACTTTTACAAGGGGAAAAACCTGGACTCACAGAACAAAATCACACCAATTAAAAAACTAGCCTGCCAAGAGAGCTGCTACCCCTGCCACAACTAGGAAATTAAGGACTATGGAAACCACAACCACAGCTGCTGTCTGACTATGCCGTCTTTGCCATCATCCATGCCAGCCAAGAGATGATTCATAGCCTGCCTCTCTCTCCAGAATTTTCATTGCAAATTAAAACTTCATGTGAGTTTATCTAATCAGGGAAGCCTAAAATACTTCTATCCCCTAGCTGCAGAGGATCCTGGGAATGTCGTTTTTAGTTTTCCAGGCTTTGCCATGCAGAAAGCCATGACAGCAGGTGGTTGTAATGGACATGGAGACAGTCGGTATCTACAAGAGTTCACAACTGTAGCTACTCAATCTATGAGGCTTCTTCCTATATTTAAATTTCTTTTTTTGTTCGGGCATGGTGGCTCATGCCTGTAATCCCAGCAACTTTGGGAGGCCAAGGCGGGTGAATCACCTGAAGTCAGGAGTTCGAGACCAGCCCGGCCAACATGCTAAAACTCCATCTCTACTAAAAACACAAAACAGAAGTTGGGCATGGTGGCACATGCCTGTAATCCCAGCTACTCGGGAGGCTG